TGTCACATCTATAACCACCTTACCCATTTGTTAACCCTTTTTCTCTTTGTTGTATGAATTTGCGGTGCGCAGCACTATTAGCAATCAGGCAATCTTTTATGATATTGCATGCAGAGCAAGTTAAAATCTCCACAATTTTCTGTATGGGAATAATGGTTTTGGTACAATGTTTGTTAATAGTACAATGATTACAAAGTGATTGCATTCCTTAATCTCATTTATGTGACTTTCTTGATAATGAAGTAGTATCTACAGTCATGTTTGTACTACATATAAAACAAGAGAGCTGTGATCAGAGACTTTATGATAGCTAGTATTCTCAACTATATTATAAGATGCAAGCAAATATTCAAAAAGCAATACATGGTTTGAAGCCTTGGAAAATGTGTATCAAATTAAGTGGAAATGAAGTACAGCACTTCAATCCGAGAGGATCTTGTGAGGCTTCGTCTCTTTCTCCTGATCCTCTGTGATTCCTCTCAGGAACAATAGAAGCCTTTCAGCCAGAAGAGCCATTCCTCTTTCCCATGCCACCTCATCCGGGATCAGGAAACCACTTCCTAAAGTCCACTTCCTCTTCCACGCCTCAGACCTGACACATCTTTCAACAGCCCCTTGGTCTTTTGCAACATCCTGCAGCCGCCTCCCTGCATTTTGGGCAACCCTTCCATTTGACACTTGCATCAGAATGTGTCTTCCCAAGCCATCAAGGGATCAGATCTTGCATAGCAACATGGCCAAAGCCTTGGAGCCCAGCTGAACGAGATGAGCCAAGACAAAGATTAATACTTCCAATTAGTTTACTGAGGGCTTGCGGTTCCGTGGGAAGCAATCAGAACAATTGTTACAAAAACTCACATTGCTCTTAGGGGTCACCCACTACTCGCATATATAGCCATGTATTCATTAATGTACAAAGGCTGTTCCTGCAAGAACAGGAAGCTTTTGAATAAATACAATTTGAGACCGCATCTAAGGGCACAAACAAATGGCTTCAGGAGTGGCCCAGGGATAAACATAAGGGGAATAATGATCATGAAATTAGAAGAGGTTGTGGCCTATCCTATCCCTCCCCTTTCGCCTTTCCTTCTCTCTCCTCCATTATCGCCTTCCTCTCCTCTACCTCTTCCTTCCCCTCTTTACTTTCCACCACCCCCAATTCACACAAATCTTTTTTTAATGTATGTATAAAAATTGTCTCTTTCCATAATAAAAAAATGATTAAAAAGAAAAAAAATAGAAGAGGTTGTGGCAAGAGGACCCTAATTCCCATTCAAAGCAGACTGAGGTGTATTATTATTATTATTATTATTATTATTATTTTACTGACAGAGAACCACAGTATGTCACAGCAAACAAGATCTATATGTGGGATTTCGTATCACAAGTCGAACACTTCCCAAGCGTCTAGGACTGTGTGATGTATTTTCGAATGATGCACGCAGATCCAAGTAAGGCGGCCTTTTGCAGTTGACAAATCGTGATTTTGTCAATGTTTATTTTTTCCAAATGCCAGTTGAGATCTTTTGGCACGGCACCCAGTGTGCCCATGACCACCGGGACCACCTGTACTGGTTTATGCCAGAGCCTTTGCAGTTTGATTTTATTATTATTACTAGCTATACTCGCCAGGTGTTGCTGTGGTCAACCTTCCCTCCCTCTTTCTCTTCTTTTTTTCCTTCCTTCCCTTTTTTCCTTTCCTTCTTTCCTTCCTTCCTTCTCTTCCTCTTCCATCCCGCCTTTTCTTTCCCTTCCTCTTCCTCCCCTTTCTTCCTTCTCTATCTATTCTTGGACTGCAACTCCCAGCAGTCTTTCTTCCTGATCTATCTATCTCTTTCCAATCTATCTATCTGGAGGATTGCTGGGAGTTGCAGTCCAAGAATAGGAAACTGGACATCTGCAGGGATTGGGATGCTCTCAAAGAAATCCAAGAAGAAAGCTTGCAGCTTGGAAGCAATACATTTGGATCCTCCCCCTCTCCTAAAGGGCCTGGTCTAGGGGATGCTAGGAGTTGTAGTCTGGAAGAGAGTGTGGATATGCTATTGTGTGTTTTGTTTGCCAGGTGGAGTCATTTTTGCGCATGCGCTGTAGCACCTTCTTGCTTTTTTGGCTTTTTAAGTCTCTTCCACTGTGTTTTTCAGTGTTTTTATGGGTGATGGTCACTCGTTGGCCTGATAGGTGTCTTGTGTCCAAATTTGGCGTCGATTCATCCAATGGTTTTTGAGTTATATTAATCCCACAAACAAACATTACATTTTTATTACTAGCCGTCCCCTGCCACACGTTGCTGTGGCCCAGTCTGTGTATGTGTTTTGTGTGTATATATATTTGTGTATATGTGTAGATATGTGTGCTTGTGTATATATGTGGTTTTGTGCATGTGTTGTAATGAATTTCCTGGGTTTTTTTGGTTTTTTTAAGTCTCTTCCACTGTGTTTTTCAGTGTTTTTATGAGTGACGTGTATTTATATTTGTGTATATGTGGTGTTATGCATGCATTGTAATGTATTCTTTATTTTTGGCTTTTTAAGTCACTTCTGTTGTGTTTTTCAGTGTTTTTATGAGTGATGGTCACTCATTGGGTTGTTAGGTGAGTTGGGGCCTTTTACCCTAGCACTTAAGACCTGGCTTTTTACTAGAGCTTTTGATCTATGTTACTTTTATCAATATCTGTATGTATGTATTTTTATCCTTTACAATTTAGCTTGTAAATCGCCTAGAGCATCTTGGATGGAGGGAGATTAATAAGTAATTAAATGATGATGATGATTTGATGTATTGTCTCTAAATCTGGTGTCAATTGGTCCAGTGGTTTTTGAGTTATGTTAATCCCACAATCGAACATTACATTTTTATTTATATAAGATTATTATTATTATTATTATTATAGTGGCAGGGTATAAATAAAGATTATTATTACTATTATTATTTCATTGTTATTTATATAAGATGATGATGATTATTATTATTATGGTAGCAGGGTATAAATAAAGATTATTATTATTAGTAGTAGTAGTATTACGTTTTTATTTATATAAGATGATGATGATGATTAATATTATTATTATGGTAGCAGGGTATAAATAAAGATTATTATTAGTAGTATTATTATTACATTTTTATTTATATAAGATTATTATTATTATTATTATGGTAGCAGGGTATAAATAAAGATTATTATTAGTAGTATTATTAGTATTATTATAATATTTTATTTATATAAGATTATGATGATGATGATTATTATTATTATGGTTGGTTGTTGTTGTTCATTTGTTCACTTCGTGACCTCATGGACCAGCCCACGCCAGAGCTCCCTGTCGGCCGTCACCACCCCCAGGTCAGTCCAGTATTATGTCCAGTATTATTATGTAGTATTATGTCCAGTATTATTATGGTAGCAGGGTATAAATAAAGATTATTATTATTAGTGGTATTATTAGTATTATTACATTTTTATTTATATAAGATGATGATGATGATTACTATTATTATTATGGTAGCAGGGTATAAATAAAGATTATTATTAGTAGTAGTATTATTAGTATTATTATATTTTTATTTATATAAGATGATGATGATAATGATTATTATTATTATTATGGTAGGTAGGTAAAGGTAGTCCCCTGACATTAAGTCCAGTCATGTCTGACTCTGGGGTGTGGTGCTCATCTCCATTTCTAAGCCGAAGAGCCAGCGTTGTCCGTAGACACCTCCAAGGTCATGTGGCCGGCATGACTGCATGGAGCGCTGCTAACATGTTAGTATATTAATTGTAAGTATGTGGGCAGAAATTATTATGGTAGCAGGGTATAAATAAAGATTATTATTAGTAGTAGTATTAGTACTATTATTACATTTTTATTTATATAAGATGATGATAATGATGATGATTATTATTATGGTAGCAGGGTATAAATAAAGATTATTATTATTAGTGGTATTATTAGTATTATTACATTTTTATTTATATAAGATGATGATAATGATGATGATTATTATTATGGTAGCAGGGTATAAATTAAGATTATTATTATTATTAGTGGTATTATTAGTATTATTACATTTTTATTTATATAAGATGATGATAATGATGATGATTATTATTATGGTAGCAGGGTATAAATAAAGATTATTATTATTATTATTATTAGTGGTATTATTAGTATTATTACATTTTTATTTATATAAGATGATGATAATGATGATGATTATTATTATTATGGTAGCAGGGTATAAATAAAGATTATTATTATTAGTGGTATTATTAGTATTATTACATTTTTATTTATATAAGATGATGATAATGATGATGATTATTATTATGGTAGCAGGGTATAAATTAAGATTATTATTATTATTAGTGGTATTATTAGTATTATTACATTTTTATTTATATAAGATGATGATAATGATGATGATTATTATTATGGTAGCAGGGTATAAATAAAGATTATTATTATTATTATTAGTGGTATTATTAGTATTATTACATTTTTATTTATATAAGATGATGATAATGATGATGATTATTATTATTATTATGGTAGCAGGGTACAAATAAAGATTATTATTAGTAGTAGTAAAGGGTCCCTGATAGACCCCAACTGCAGGGGAAGGAGATCCCCAATTTCCACACACATCCTTCCTTGGTACCTGGTAACAAAACCAGAAAGGAAGAAATCCCTCTGGGCTGCTCCCTTCTTAAGGCAGAGGCGTGCCTTCAAAAAAAAAAAGGACTTCTGGAGGAGGGGAAAAAGAAGCCAAGAGCCAGAATATGCGTCTATCTTTTGCACAAGGCTTCCTAGCAAAGGCACACACCCACAGGAAAAGGCTGCGAGGAAAGGGAAGAGGATGCAGCAGCTTCCTTTCAGAGATGGAGAAGAGGGAAAGAAAGGGGGGAGGGGGGAGGCACCCAGGAAGGGCCTCGAGCCTCCCCCCCCCCCCCCCCCGCAGGCCTTCTCCCTCAGGGCGCCCCCTTCCCCTCACAGCAGGCTTACCATGAAGTCTGTGGCGAAGTTGTCCTCCCCATTGTGGTCGGTGTCCTTCATGGCCCGGACGCGCTGGATGAATTTCCTCAGGATCTCCTCTTGCTCCATCCTCCCTCCTGGCCTCTCTGGGCGGAAGACACCCGGCTTTCTCCTTCTCCTCCGCCTCGCCCTGGCCTCCCTCCCTTCCTCCTCCTCCTCCCTCTCTCAGCACAACTTCCCGGCCAGGGCTCGGCTCCGCTCCATCCCCTCCCTCACGCGAAGCGACGCGGCTATTTCCTCCGCTCCCCCCTTTCCTCTCCGCCTCACACACTCTCTCACGCCTTTTCCTCCCGCGCAGGCGCAGTGCCCTCCGCGCGCTCCCGCCTTCTTCCTCCCTGTGCGGTCCGGCGATTGGATGCCCCGCCCCGAAGGCTGCTGCCATTGGCCCAGCGGCTCGCCCGTCCCGCCCTCTTCCTCCTCCCCCTCCCTTTCCTACCTCTGGAGAAACTTCCTTCTTCTTCTTCTTCTTCCCCACCCCTAAATTGTTCCCCCTTCTTCTGAAGGGATCTTCCCGTGTTGTTTGTTGAGTAGGAGGCTGGGATGTACCAATGAGATTTAAGGGGGGGGGGGGAGGTGGTAGAGATAGGAAAGGAGGAAGGGAGGGGGGGTTAGAGAAAAACAGAGGCCGAGTCTCTCTAGGTTAGAGGCGACTTCCAACGGGGACCACTAGCCCAGTGGTTCTCAGCCTGGGATCCCCAGATGTTTTGGGCCTACAACTCCCAGAAATCCTAGCCAATTTACCAGCTGTTAGGATTTCTGGGAGTTGAAGGCTACCCCTCTATTCTGCTTTGGTTAGACCACACCTGGAGTATTGTGTCCAGTTCTAGGCACCACAATTCAAGAGTGAATGTGTTCAGAGGAGGGTGACTAAAATGATCAAGGGTCTGGAGAACAAGCCCTATGGGGAGCGGCTTAAGGAGCTGGGCAGGCCTGTAGCGAGGGGGTGGTTTTAGGGGTTCAACACCCCCCCCCCGAAATGTTTCAGATTTTTAAAAAAACCTGGTTTACTCATGAATTTTAACTGGTTAACCAAATCCCCATGCTAAGTCTATGAGATGCAAAAAATTAAGAGTCCCTCCAGAACTGCAAGCACTATCTCAGGCAAATATCTGACAATTTATTCACACTGTCATTACTTGCAGCAATAGCCGATGTAGCGAAGCAACCAAGTTGGGGGGGGGGGTGTTGAATGCTCTCATTAAGGAGGCCAGACTTGGTGGAGGTGGTTGACAGGGGCAGAGCTGCAAGCTATTGAAGGCTGCTCTGCCCCCTGCTGTGCTCTTTGCTTCAGCGCCGTGAGCTAGGAGGCAGGTTTCAACCCCCTCCCCGTGAAATTTTCACACACACACACCCAGAAAATTTCAACCCCTCCCGAAATTTTTTTCTGGCTACAGCCCTGGAGCTGGGCATGTTTACCCTGAAGAAGAGAAGGCTGAGAGGAGATATGATAGCCATGTATAAATATGTGAGAAGAAGCCACAGGGAGGAGGGAGCAAGCTTGTTTTCTGCTTCCCTGGAGATTAGGACGTGGAACAATGGCTTCAAACTACAAGAGAGGAGATTCCATCTGAACATGAGGAAGAACTTCCTGACTGTGAGAGCCGTTCAGCAGTGGAACTCTCTGCCCCGGAGTGTGGTGGAGGCTCCTTCTTTGGAAGCTTTTAAACAGAGGCTGGATGGCCATCTGTTAGGGATGATTTGAATGCAATATTCCTGCTTCTTGGCAGGGGTTGGACTGGATGGCTCTTCCAACTCTTTGATTCTATGCTGTGTCCAGGTTGGTTCATCAGGTGGTCTGCTATGGCTAATTTCTTGATTGAAAATAGTGGTTGAAATAGTTTGCAGTGCCTTTCATTTTCCTTGATCCCACGTATGACATTCTTTCACATATTTATGCACGACTATCATGTCTCCTCTCAACTTTCTCTTCTGCAAGCTAAACATATGAAACCCTTTAAGACACTCCTCATAGGTATTCATGGTCTCAAGACCTTTGATCGTTTTAGTTGCCCTTCTCTTGACACTTTCCAGTTTCTCCATATTTCTTTTGAACGGTGGTGTCCAGAATTGGGCACAGTATTGCAGGCGAGGTCTAACTAAAACAGAATAGAGAGGTACCATGGAACATGAAAGGCACTGCAGACTACTTCAACCAGAGAAATCAGCCATAGCAGAACACCTGATGAACCAACCTGGACACAGCATATTATATGAGAACACGGAAATGCTGGACCACTCGAACAACCACCATGTCAGACTACACAGAGAAGCCATTGAAATCCACAAACGTGGACAATTTCAACAGAAAGGAGGAAACCATGAAAATGAACAAAATCTGGCTACCAGTATTAAAAAAAACTCTAAAATTATAACAGCACAACAACAGAGAGGAAACAAACAAGGACATCTAATCACCTCTCAACAAAAGTTTGCTCTAGGCACTGTCAGGCCATTATATGCCAATCAAGGTGGTCAGTTGAAACATTCACACCTAGCTCCAGCAGACAAGAGTCCTTTGTCCCACCCTAAAAACCTTCGACAACAGAGGCTGAGTCTTTCTGGGTTAGAGGCGACCTCCAACGGGGACCACTAGCACAGTGGTTCTCAGCCTGGGATCCCCAGATGTTTTGGGCCTACAACTCCCAGAAATCCTAGCCAATTTACCAGCTGTTAGGACTTCTGGGAGTTGAAGGCTACCCCTCTATTCCGCTTTGGTTAGACCACACCTGGAATATTGTGTCCAATTCTGGGCACCACAATTCAGGAGAGATATTGACAAGCTGGAATATGTCCAGAGGAGAGCGACTAAAATGATCAAGGGTCTGGAGAACAAGCCCTATGAGGAGCGGCTTAAGGAGCTGGGCATGTTTAGCCTGAAGAAGAGAAGGCTGTATAAATATGTGAGATGAAGCCACAGGGAGGAGGGAGCAAGCTTGTTTTCTGCTTCCCTGGAGACTAGGACACGAAACAGTGGCTTCAAACTACAAGAAAGGAGATTCCATCTGAACGTGAGGAAGAACTGTGAGAGCTGTTCAGCAGTGGAACTCTCTGCCCCCGAGTGTGGTGGAGGCTCCTTCTTTGGAAGCTTTTAAACAGATGCTGGATGGCCATCTGTCAGGGGTGATTTGAATGCAATATTCCTGCTTCTTGGCAGGGGGTTGGACTGAATGGCCCATGAGGTCTCTTCCAACTCTTTGATTCTATGATTCTAAGGGCAAAAACATCTGGGAACCACTGCACTAGCCAAACTGAAAGGGGACAATGTATTGTCGAAGGCTTTCATGGCTGGAATCACTGGGATATTGTAGGTTTTTCGGGCTATATAATAATAATAATCCCAAATGTAGACTCTGCAAGGAAGCAGATTTTATTTATCGTGTCAGGGGCAGACCAGTTGCATTGCATTCTTTAACAAAACAAAGAAACAAACAAAACACAAAGTTTGCGAGCTGAGTAGTTGATTAAATGTCCTTTGACCAGTACCTGGCCACTTGGAGTGCCTCTGGTGTTGCCGCAAGGAGGTCCTCCATCGTGCATGTGGCAGGGCTCAGGTTGCATTGCAGCAGGTGGTCAGTGGTTTGCTCTTCTCCGCACTCGCATGTCGTGGATTCCACTTGGTAGCCCCATTTCTTAAGGTTGGCTCTGCATCTCGTGGTGCCAGAGCGCAGTCTGTTCAGCGCCTTCCAAGCCGCCCAGTCCTCTGTGTGCCCAGGGGGGAGTCTCTCATTTGGTATCAGCCATTGATTGAGGTTCTGAGTTTGAGCCTGCCACTTTTGGACTCTCGCTTGCTGAGGTGTTCCAGCGAGTGTCTTAGATCTTAGAAAACTATTTCTTGATTTAAGTCGTTGACGTGCTGGCTGATATCCAAACGGGATGACAGTCTACGAGTGCATTCTCACTCCCAGTGGTGCTTTTAAGTTATAGACACGACTACAACAAAGAAAAAGTGCTACTACCGGTATATTATGTCTCTAGACTTTCTGCAACATACAGTTCAGTTTCACATTTTTTAAAAATGTAGACTATAGCAGCTTTAAATTACATCCACAGAGTTGCCTCCCAACTTGCAGTTATACTGGGCATCTGCTACGGAATGCAACCCTGCTGACCTTTTGTACCAGGCAGTTTATAAGTTTGAAACATAAAGTTTATTTCTCTCTTGCTCTTCAGGAAGCAGGCAATTGAAGCCAAACACAATAAGCAATGTTAGTAAGGCACAAGTAAGTACACTGCATCTGTACTAATCTGTACTAATAAAGGGAACATGAGGGTCAATATTCTGTCAAAGTCTGGAAACACACACATATTGCTTTGCAAATAAAACTTGGTTCACACCAGTATAGTGATGACTTGCCTAGGTATTGTATTAGAGGTACAATATTACAGGTAACATTTTCATAGCTCCTTCCATTATTTTCAGTAGATCTCTTTCCACAAGTCTGTTCACATTTTTGGCAGCATAGAGAAACCAGGCGTTACTTTTACAAATATGAACCAAATTTTTGTCACATTTACTTCCTTATGTCTTTCTTCCAAATGTATGTACTTAATATCAGATTGCATGTTTTGGATCTGAAAAGTTAACAGGTAATATAAGGAGCTTGCGTCACAACTTTACTCTGATTCTAATAGTAACATCAACACACTCCTAATAATAATAATAATAATAATAATAATAATAATAATCCTTTATTTATACCCCGCTACCATCTCCCGAAGGACTCGGTGCGGCTTACAAGAGGCTGAGCCCAAATACATCAGTAAAAAGCAACAACAACAATACAGACAATAAATAAACTCATAAACAAAGCAATAAACAGTAACAATAACACCACGACGCATTAAAAACCTATGGCAGGCCAATTGTAATAATTAAAAATTTAAAAAATGCTGGGCATGACAAGGTGACATATAACTAGGATAGGTATTTGGAGAGAGATGGAACGAGCAGACAATCCTAGATCATTAGTAACGTGTGATTAGGGGCATGTTGCTTAGGGTTTCCTTATTCTGGGAAGGCACACTGGAACAACCACGTTTTCAGGCTCCTCTTGAAGACTGCCAGAGTTGGGGCATGCCTAATGTCCTTGGGGAGCGAGTTCCAGAGTTGAGGGGCCACCACCGAGAAGGCTCTATCCCTCATCCCCACCAATCGTGCTTGCGATGGAGGTGGGATCGTGAGTAGGGCCTCTCCAGATGAACGAAGAGATCGTGTGGGTTCGTACACAGAGATGCGGTCACGCAGATAGGCGGGTCCCAAACCGTTTAGGGCTTTGTAGGTAAGCACCTGCACCTTGAAT